AGGAATGAAAGTCGCAAAAATGGGTTAATTTATTTGACATATGATCCGTGGCACCAGAATCAATAACCCATACATTATGTAAACTATCAATCTCTAAAAAGCAATCTGAATACCTTGGCTAGTGTCAGAATTTGCATCAGCTAAAAAACCAGCAAAATGACTAAGAAGTGCAGCTGGTTGATCTTTTTCTTGATTAACAGCTCCTCCTTGGACTGCCCTCTGACCATGCTTGTCTTGTAAATAATTTGCGAAATCATTAAGTAAAGCAGTAGGATTAGAAGAAAAGGATTCAGTGGAGTGCGTAGCCAAATGAGCCTTATGATCAGGGATTCGTTTTTGGTATCCTCCCCCCTTTTGATCTTTGGAAAATTTGGGCTTCATTTCTGGGTGAAGAATCCAGCAACGATAAATTGAGTGTCCAATATTATGGCAATGCTGACATTTAAGATCAGGGCGTTTTCTCTTGTAAGATTTTTCTTCAGAGGGTGAGCGAACAATATAGGCACGAACATCAGGAGGAGGACTGGGATTAACAGTACGTGGCATGACTTTTCGGCGTACTACTTCTTCACGCTTTCGCAAAATAGCCGCATCAACAGTAGGAGGTCTATAAATCTCCAACTCACTCCACAAACTCTTCAAGTTTCCCAGTAAACTTACGAATGGCTTCCCATCTTGATGAAGGCTTGCAATTTCCTTATGAATTTGGAAAATCCTGGCAGAATTATTTTGGTTGCCATACATGTCACGGACAACATTCCATAGATCCAAAGAAGACTCTGAATAGCTAAAAATCTCAGCAAGATCACGCTCCATCGAGTTAAGAATCCACGACATAACCTGTTGGTCTTTTGACAGCCACGCCTCGTACTCCGGTGAACTGGGTTCAGGAGATTTGGCAGTGCCATTAATGAATCCCAACCTTGATCTACCACCAAGAGCAATGGTAATTGCCCTCGACCACGGAAGGTAATTGAATTCGTTTAACAAAACTGAACTCAATTTTTGAGAGATGTTGACATCACCATCAGCAATATTGGATGAAGAAGAGACCACCTCCTTCAAACCTCCAGCAGCAATAATATTATCTGCCATAATAAAGAAGATACGAGCAGGGTGCAAGGATCACCGCTCTGATACCATGAAGAAATTGGAGGAAGAAGGAACTTTTATTCATACTGATTTCATAAGTATCACAAGTATATATAGAGAGATACCTCCACACATAATTCTAGCATATATCACGTAATTAGCCTAGGATTATGGATGTACAGTCATCAGTTCCTGATTCTAAGTTTGTACACGAATTATCTCCACTAATTTAGGATGGCATCTCCACTAATTTCGGATGCCATATATACACATAATATTCTTCTATGCTCCAATAGCACCTTTCTTTGTATTCTTCCACATGGCAACATATGCACTCTTGATTTTGAATTCATTCATTGCATCGCTGCATAGATTTCCTCCGCACAAGGGGAAATGTCAACCAAGTTGCCATGGTTGACGTACATATGGAATTATTCTAGTAATTATTTGAATGATGTGTGGTTAAAAAGTAGGAAAAAAATTTGGGTTTACGTGTAAAGTAATGTATCGTGTGAATGTGTAGTTGAAAATGAATTTTGGGAAAAAAGAGTTTTGATTTAATGAATGTCAGACATGAGCTAAGATTTGAACTTTGAAGTTCCATTTGAAAAGCTCAACCTTATTAAAAGGAGCAGTCCAAATCCTTGTAAGCAGGCATATATTTTGGTAATTAGTCGACATGAAATTTATTTCTAAATATGCCCTCGCAAGATGTGACTCGTTTGAGTCAATTAATCTTGAAATTCGTGTGCTCGTTTGAGTTTTAATCGGATTAAATTGCTTATTTGAACTTAACGGACCCTAATAGTCAAAACCTTATTAAAAGGAATAGTCAAAACCCATGGATGCTGGTCTATATTTCGATAATTAATTGATGTGGAATTTAACGTAACATAATATTCATTCTTTTCATTAAAAACTTGAAACATGGACAAATTTGTGCGTTGGCTAGACTTGAAATTGATATCTCTGCCTGTGTTGATACTCTGATTAACCACATCATCTAAAAACTTCGTGAATGCACACTTACAAAGACTGCCCACATGCACAGATATAGGTAAAACTTCATTAACTCAAAGCAGAAAGTTTTAAATTGTGGCATTTCTTTCAACAGCTGGAAATGGAGGATGGGGATGAGATAGATGCTATGCTGCATCAGACTGGAGGTGCTGCTGCTTAGGGTGATTAAGTCTTTGGTAAGGCCTTGGAGGAAGTTGTAATACAAAATTTCGAAATCATTCTAGTAACTTGCTGTTACTACTTGACCTATTATTGAACTTTGTTCAAGTATTTCGCCTGCTATTCAATTTCAATTGCTTTGATTTTAGTTTCCTCTCTCGAAAGAAAATATACGTTACTTTCTTGACTTTTATGGTGACACTGGATCATGAAAGAGGGATGGGTTTCTCTCGTGTTTGGTGTAACGAACTCGTGGGAGTCTTGCACGACATGCTATTAGTTCAATATATTTTGAGTTATACTTCATTTAATACATTCACCTTGTCGAGGACTGGTCAGGATTCGAACTGTAATTTGCTTTTGATTTTCCACGCAAACGTGCAGAAATTTATGTGCAGTGCATTTCTAATGACTCTTTACATGGGGAAAACGTTGATAAACTTTATTAATTGAGGTGGTTTATATCAATTTAAATAATATTTCGAATCAATAATTCTTTTAATAATTGTAATTGACAAAATGAACATGATCTCCTTCTGGAATTGCCCGATCCCACCCTGAATTTATTTATTATATCATATCATATTCACACTACATTTCTAGTTAACTACACCACATTATAATTGCAATGAACATTTTGAATCTTTACTCATTTTTGTACTTTAGAGCTTTCTTGAACTTTTTTTGTCACATTCTTATCCCTAACCTTTTACTAATTTGCATAGATAATGGTTCCGTCTAAGTAATTCATTACGAGATTCTAAAAAGATTATTTGTCTCGTATTTTTAAATATAAAAAACTACACAAATGTAAAAGTTTGATGTAATATTTTTTACTCATTTCAATACATGTTAGCAAATATTTGACAAGAATCGTCATCAGAGATGAGATGTGCTAATAATTGAAGGTTAATGAAAAAATACGATGAAAAAGTTGGGATACAAGTGCAAAAATGATTAAAATTAGAGACCTTCATTACAATTAGAGTTTTGCTACACAAATAAAATATTTGACATAGGGGATGACACAATACATACACATGGGGGAAAGTGACATTATTTAATTCAAGTCGGGACCCACATGCAATGTGAGAGGTCGGTTAACTCCTATGTCAAGCTATGTTCATTTAGCTTAATTTTTACAATTAATGCGGTGTAAATGAGTAAAAATTAGGAACTTTAATTGTAACTAAAACTTGGTGTAGATGATAAACACCCTGGTGGGAAATGTGGAGAAAAAAGGCCAAAGGTCAATAATACTCCCAATTAAATTTGTTATTGACGTAGAAATCCAAATCTTCGCGATAGTTGCAAAGCAGAAAAAATGAATTGGCGCAGAACAAACAACTAGAGAGAGAAAGCAACTGAGTAAAATGTCGAGCATCCAAGAAGACAAGAAACCTGTTCACCTCTTTTTTGAACCTCTAAAGTGGCCAACAGATAATAGGTCCTCTCGCATCCACGTAAGTCTTTGGTCTTACATACTTGAACAAACTGTAAGTCACACACGACCTTCTCGCATCCAAAGATATTGTTTGCAGTAGAAGGGACGGGCCAAAGTGGCCGAATTCCGTCAATCTTGTCATTTCTTGCTATTTGATTGTGCAATGGCTTCCTTGTACTTCCGGCATTTTCAATCATCCATGAGTAGCAACAAAATGCTCCTCTCAATTTGTTCTTGCGTGGAAAGTTAATATTCATCAAAATTCAGTTTAAAAAGTGAATGATATTGATTTTGTGAAGAACATATGTAAAGCTCACACACAAACACTCCTTCACATTTTCAAATGTATAAAGCTCAGAACTCCCTCTCCAAAATCCAGAAACTTTAACTTAGGCATTTATTTTCTACAGATGGTAATGGTGGATGGCGATGAGATAGATGCCATGTTGCATAAAACTGGAGGTGCCGCTGCTGCTTAAGGAAGGATGAAGAGAACTTCAAGGCCTTGTTAAATTTCAATACCATCTCAATTATTCGTCTGTTGGTCTCAGATATTCTTTTATGAACTCTCTCTATGTCATGACAAAGATCTGTAGTCTACAATGCTGAATGGTAACATTGTGCAAGATGGATATTGCACCTTTTGTTCATTAACTGGTGAAAGTATTTTACCGATATTGTGGGTTTCAATTGTCAACCTCCATTTCAGTCGAATCCTCTAGATTTGAAGGATATGGCATCAAACCTAAAAACAAGAACCAGTTTTAGCAGCAACGGCTAGCGATGGAATAAATGAATAACGACTCCTACCATACAGGTAGATCATAAAAATTTGATCTTGTCGTCTAAAACCTGACATTTAAAACATTTCACGACTATTAGAGACAAAATATATGCATAAGCTATACAGGTAAAGCCTCGTCTCAGGAGGGTATATTTTGAATCAATTAACTCAGTCCATGAATGTGCAGAAGAGAGCACAAGGTGCCGTTACTGGCTATCAATGAAAAGAACGTTTTGGAGAACACAAGATTGAGAGGTCTAGAACAAAGGTTTCATTACATATTAAACGGATTACACACACAAGTGGCTTAGCAAAGCCACTACATAAAATTACAGACATGTTCCAACAACTGAGCAAACGAAGTTTGCATTATTTAGGATGTCGACACGGGAAACCATATAAAATCCGATATTAGGCACACATGGGACAACAAATAAAAAGCAGGAATGAGATCCTGTCTACAAAGTCCATTTATTTCTCAGAACCCAGCATTTATTTCTGCTAAACAGACATTATAGCAGGATGGGAGCCTTTAAGGGAATCCACGTCTTCAAGAGATTGAGGGCCGACATCTGAATCCTTGAGGATGTTTTGGGTAACACTGTTGTCCTCCTCCATACTGCAAGAAACGGCTTCAAAGAGTAGCTCCTTCACTTCGCGGAGTCTCTCTTCAGACAGAGAAACCTCAGCTAGGAGCCTCCAAGCATTTTCCTCGGACGCCTCCTCATAGTCCTCCTTCCTTTTGAGTACCATATGTCCACTAATTTCCCAAACTGCTGGATTAACTTGAGTGTCTAAGAACTCAGAGCTCACTTCCCCAAGAGCCTGTTTCTCGGCATAGCACTGTTTGACCATTCAACATCGGAAGTTAGCAGATTTCCAACTGAACTAAAAGAAGCACCTATAATTGCTTGTATGTAAAACACGTTAAATAGGGTTGCAAGAAAGTGGCATGGAACCAAAAAAAATCACCTGTGGGATGAGGAAAATTCGTCTTCCAGAATCAGCAATAAGAACATTATACGGAATGTTGTTGTCTTGCAAGCAAATGCAGGAGTCAGAGACGACATTCGATAATTCATCCAGAGTATTTCCACCCTCAAAAACAAGACCCCTGACTGGATAATTAAGAATATTTCGCATCCAAAGATATTGTTTGCAGTAGAAGGGACGGGCCAAAGTGGCCGAATTCCGTCAATCTTGTCATTTCTTGCTATTTGATTGTGCAATGGCTTCCTTGTACTTCCGGCATTTTCAATCATCCATGAGTAGCAGCAAAATGCTCCTCTCAATTTGTTCTTGCGTGGAAAGTTAATATTCATCAGATTCAGTTTAAAAAGTGAATGATATTGATTTTGTGAAGAACATATGTAAAGCTCACACACAAACACTCCTTCACATTTTCAAATATATAAAGCTCAGAACTCCCTCTCCAAAATGCAGAAACTTTAACTTAGGCATTTATTTTCTACAGATGGTAATGGAGGATGGCGATGAGATAGATGCCATGTTGCATAAAACTGGAGGTGCCGCTGCTGCTTAAGGAAGGATGAAGAGAACTTCAAGGCCTTGTTAAGCCCATGTTTGTCTACCATTTTCCCAAAAATTGTTTTCTACAGTAAACAATCTCCATCACATATTCACCTAATAAAATATTCTACATATAAACCAATAAAGTTACTTTAAATTTCAACTACACATTCTTCAAAAAATACTATTCATTACACCATTTTCCTCCCCATAATGGTAAACAAACAGGAGCTAAATTTCAATACCATCTCAATTACTTGTCTGTTGGTCTCAAATATTCTTTTATGAACTATCTCTGTCATGACATAGATCTATAGTTTACAATGCTGAATGGTAACATTGTGCAAGATGGATATTGCACCTTTTGTTCATTAACTGGTGAAAGTATTTTACCGATATTGTGGGTGTCAATTGTCAACCTCCATTTCAGTCGAATCCTCTAGATTTGAAGGATATGGCATCAAACCTAAAAACAAGAACCAGTTTTAGCAGCAACGGCTAGCGATGGAATAAATGAATGACGACTCCTACCATACAGGTAGATCATAAAAATTTGATCTTGTCGTCTAAAACCTGACATTTAAAACATTTCACGACTATTAGAGACAAAATATATGCATAAGCTGTACAGGAAAAGCCTCGTCTCAGGAGGGTATATTTTTAATCAATTAACTCAGTCCATGAATGTGCAAAAGAGAGCACAAGGTGCCGTTACTGGCTATCAATGAAAAGAACGTTTTGGAGAACACAAGATTGAGAGGTCTAGAACGAAGGTTTCATTACATATTAAACGGATTACACACACAAGTGGCTTAGCAAAGCCACTACATAAAATTACAGACATGTTCCAACAACTGAGCAAACGAAGTTTGCATTATTTAGGATATCGACACGGGAAACCATATAAGATCCGATATTAGGCACACATGGGACAACAAATAAAAAGGAGGAATGAGATCCTGTCTACAAAGTCCATTTATTTCTCAGAACCCAGCATTTATTTCTGCTAAACAGACATTATAGCAGGATGGGAGCCTTTAAGGGAATCCACGTCTTCAAGAGATTGAGGGCCAACATCCGAATCCTTGAGGATGTTTTGGGTAACACTGTTGTCCTCCTCCATACTGCAAGAAATGGCTTCAAAGAGTAGCTCCTTCACTTCGCGGAGTCTCTCTTCAGACAGAGAAACCTCAGCTAGGAGCCTCCAAGCATTTTCCTCGGAAGCCTCCTCATAGTCCTCCTTCCTTTTGAGTACCATATGTCCACTAATTTCCCAAACTGCAGGATTAACTTGAGTGTCTAAGAACTCAGAGCTCACTTCCCCAAGAGCCTGTTTCTCGGCATAGCACTGTTTGACCGTTCAACATCGGAGGTTAGCAGATTTCCAACTGAACTAAAAGAAGCACCTATAATTGCTTGTATGTAAAACACGTTAAATAGGGTTGCAAGAAAGTGGCATGGAACCAAAAGAATCACCTGTGGGATGAGGAAAATTCGTCTTCCAGAATCAGCAATAAGAACATTATACGGAATGTTGTTGTCTTGCAAGCAAATGCAGGAGTCAGAGACGACATTCGATAAATCATCCAGAGTATTTCCACCCTCAAAAACAAGTCCCCTGACTGGATAATTAAGAATATCACAGATTTTCACACCCCTACTTGTAGTTGTTATCTTCCTAGTGGGAGCCCTTTCAATGGGGAATGGCACAGCTAAGTAATAGGCCTGTCGTCACAATAATTATACAATTTCTGTTGAGATAAGAAAAAACTTGAACCAATTATTAACTCCACCGCAAACAAAGAGAAAGGACAGATAGAAACCTGGAAATGAAGGTGGTTGATGGTTGCAAATGCACCCAAGCTATTGTAACCCAAGCGGAAGTATGGGTTTTTGGCTTCTGCAGCCATGTAGAGCGCAAGCAAGAAGCTGTCCTGGTCAATCCTTTGAGGCAAACGTTCAAGAATCCGAGGGATTAGAAGGACGTGTCCATATTCAATAGGACTAACCTATATATTTATACACACCAAACCAAAAGTTAACAGCCTGCCTACTACAAGTTTCACCAAAACACCTTCGAATAAGATAAACCAAAGGAACAGAAACATACATTGATGGCGACAACACTAGGGGAATTCTCGATATGAATAGGTGAATTTGGAAAGAACTGGGCTTCATTATCCATGCTTGGTTCAAATTGAAAGAGGACTTCCTCTTGCCCAACCTTAGTGAAGTTGAATTTATTTTCATCAAAGGGCTGCAAGACCTTATCAACTCGAAACTCAGTTGGCCTCTTCTTGAGGTGCCTGCCTTCATTCAGTTGTGCAATAAAGCCACATTGACCCGGAATCACCTAAGAAAAGCATCCACATACAATTAAACCAACAAAGACAAATAAAGCAACTACAGAAAATTTAACCGCAACAAAGACACACAAAGCAACTACAGTAAATGTTTGTTTCCACCGATACGCCAAAATTGCAGAGAAATTAAGAGGGAAAGTGACGAAAAAAGACACCTTGGTTTCGCAAGCGGTGACGTCATAGCGAAAGAGGCCTCTCTGCATCCGATCCTCCCACTACCACGAAATAATAGTAATTTTAGCTTAATTGTACGAATTTGGGTTTAAAAAGTGGTTAAAAAAAAACTCATGCATGAAGTAAATTTCCAAATTCTTTACCTCCCCAAGAAGAAGGGAGCCCAGGAAGCGAACCGGAGGCTCTTTGTTTTCAGAGCCGGCTGATTTCTTTTCAACTTCAATCTTGTTCATCTTCTTGAAAGCATACATAGGCAGCTTTGCCCCTAATTCAATCAAAATACAAGTGCATTCATAACCCAATTTTGTAATAAAAAATTCCCAATTTTTCTTCTATCAAAAGAGTCTTAACAGATACCTGGAAGACAGCAGCTTCTGAAGCAATTGCGGCCGCAGCCGCTGGCATGGCGAGAGTCTTCCTCCACCTCTTCCTTTTGGAAATTGGAAACAACAGTGGGAACTCTCTTGATCCTTAGCATCATCTTTAGATCTCTTAATAAATATATACTTTTCTTCAGCAATTACAGGGAAGATCCACCAACCCCAATCCCAAAATGCCCAGACCCTTATCAATTTAGGCAATAATGAAACTGTATAATATAATTCTACAATATTTACAGAAGCGGGAAGCTAATAGTATAAACCGCCGCCGGCGAGGAAGAGGAGGTCAGAAGGACTACCGCCTTCAGAAGGCAAAGCGCCACGTCCGCCGTGCGGCAAATGGTTGCTGCCAATCACACAACCCTTACGACGTACATACCGGACATGTATTAAAGACCGATTTACTCTAAGTATAGCCGTGTTGTCTACAACTTGTCTTCCCCGGGTTATACCCCACCTTAAACGCTTCTCAAAACCGTCTCAGAATCGCCGGCGACCTCACTTGAAATCTACCTCTTCAAAAAAAAGAAACTCCAAAAAGTTTTCTGTAAAAAATGACGAAAAAGGGCTGCAAAATCCAACCTTTTTTTTTCCAAAAGAGAAGGAGAATTTACTGTGAACAGGTGATGGGAGGTGGGAGATTCATAGGTACGAATATATAGAAAGTTCGGTTGGGCGTAAATGGGGCTGTGATTTCGAATTGGTTGAGTGGCCTTAGTTTTTCTACATATGCACACAATTTGGGACCCTTCATTCAACCCGACCCTATTTTGATTGGTAAATGTGATCCGGGTTGTGTTTGGAAGACCCGCTGAGAGCGACTGCTAGCCAAGTTCTAGAATTGGGGTGAAAATACAATTTCAAAAAGTTCAGGACCCTCTTCACAAATATTGAGGCAACCTTCCTCAAAGGCACGTTAATTAGTTTTTAGTGTCCAAAGTTTTTCAAACATTTCAAATTGAGGACATCTTTTTTATTATGGAACACAATAGACAGGACCATTTGATGGGGTCCAGAAATTTCTAAGGCCACTGATTAAAGCAACTTGTGGGATTTTTTTATTTATTTTTGCTTAATTTCTATAAAAATCTGCTTCACAACTTATTTTAAGTCTTTATTTTTAACTTATTTTTAATCGATTTGTGGTACTTCAGTTGTCTCAATCCAGTCCACAGAACATGGAGTAATGTACTCCACTAACCAATTTGTACGATGAATATGCTCGAGCCTCAAAGTACTTATAAATCTACGAAATAAGCATTTCACGGTGGCCGAAAGAAATTAGAAATGATCTTTAGAAAAATATTGTAATACATAAAGATAAAGGTTCGAGGGTTTTGTTCAAAAAGAGTAACAGTAACGTCAATTCCGCGCCTAACATCCATGTGAATTTGCCCATGACTGCCACGTTCATGCAAACAATTCAATGCAGCATCATTTCATCCATTTTCATTTAGGTGTCTCCTTGCACGGGTCCCCCCTTAGCCTAATTGATTTGAGCCCATGTTTGACAGCCAGTTTTACCAAAATAATAAAAAAATTATCAGACTCATTTTCAATCATATATTTTCAAAATAAAATATTCTACACATAAATTCAAAACGTTTTCACACTTTTAAACTACTTATTTTTAAAAAAATCACTATTTCAAAACTCATTTCTCCCAAAAAATTACTCATTATAGTATGGTCAAACAGAGGCTAAATGAATGAGTGAAGATACAGTTAGGAGAAGACAAAATGATCAACCAAATCAAACTAATTAGAATCGAACGGTTCAATTCAATTCTCCCAAAATAATTAATTATTTTAGTTCTTAGAACTGAAAATTATTTGGTTCTAATTCTAGAACAGAGAGCACAACTCAATTTTTATTATATTTGTACATGTATATATATTTTACAAATCAGTGAATCATATAAAAAAATTCAATTTGAAAATTAAAAATGTGAACCGGACAAAAAGTTAATTACCATTACATATTAGTATTTTACCTTATCACCAATCAGAGAAAGCGACCAAACCCTAGTTGTGATCTGGGCTGTGACTTAAAGTTAATTACCATTACATTTTAGAATTTTACCTTATCACCTATCAGAGAAAGCGGACAAACCCTAGATATAAATTTTAATGCTTGTAAAGGAATTGATTGGACGGAGCATGAAAATGGAACTTGATATTATAAAATTTTGTCGTTACTCATTCGCCTACATTAGTATATCGTTGTTATTAGACGATATTTGTAATTGAAATGAAAATTGATTTTTGTGTATTCAATTTATGATTATTTTCGTTTGTTAGTTTGGTCTTTTGTGAATGAATTTTATTATACAATGTTTCATTTGATGATGGATAATTTGAACTTATTGAACGATCAATGTCTAGTTTTTTTATTTGAGTATATATTATTAAGTGGTAATTAAATAAAACCATGCTTTAAGTTTTTAAACTTCTAAAATCAGATTGGATGTTTTATATTTCCAAAATCAGATGTTTTATAATTAAAATTTATTATAATTAAATATACAATATTACAAACCATTTTCGCATTTCTCTCCATTTCATAGATCTACATCTCTCTCTCTAAGCAAACACTACACCACCCCGTCACCGGCGACACAGCTCCGGCGTTGATGCCGCAGCCGCGATCGCGTTGAGGCGCCGCAGTCGACGTCACTTGATTCCGGTGGTCCGATTGCGTTGAGGTGCTGCAGTGAGCGCCGCTGTTGCGCCATTGCCAATCAAACGGGTACAACGTCGCCGTCGCGACCCCGTCACACTCTAATCTAACGACGCTGTTCTCCTCTGCTGTATCTGTTTTTTGGGGAGTTTGTGGTGGCTGGTGGTGATTGTTGATAGTGGTGGTTATTGTTGATAGTGTTTGTGGTGCGACAGAGATGGGGGCTGTTGGTGGTGCAATGGTGGAGGTGGCAATGGTGGGGGCTGAATCGCTGGTGTCATCGCCTAATAGTGATGACTGCATCGTCGACCGTTTGGTTTTGGTGTTCTTTTGAGTTTTCAGATTGTGATGTGGTGGTGGTGGCTGCGGTGGTGCCCCTTTTTTGTTTTGTTTTTTTTTAATGTTTGTGAGCTTCAGATTGGAGACGGTGTTGGTAGTGTGGCGATAAGGTGGCAGTTGGATGCTGGTGGTTGTGTAGTTGGTGGTTGGTGGTGTTTTGTGCGACGACGTTTCGGTGGTTGTAACTGTGGTGGCAGATCTGGTGGTTTGTCTGATGGTTTGGAGATGACGGTGTTACTACTGATTGTCGTGGTGTTTGGGTGGTGGTGATGTTGGTTTTGGCGGTTGTCGTGGAGGTAGGGGTAATGGTCGTGGTGATAGTGCAGAGGTGGTGGTGGATCTTGGGATACAGTGATTTTGGTTTTCTGTGACAAAATATAATCTTTGACCTTAAAATTCGGTAACCTGTGACTAAAAATATAATCGGTGACTAATAAATTTGAAAATATGTGATTAAACAAACAATCATGATGCGTTGTGACTTGTGACCTG